AAATGCAACTGATGATTTTTTAAAAATGTATTAATTCGTCTATAGGGGTGAGTCGGCCTTCAGATGATTTTGCAAGCGAGAAGTATTATGTGAAATATATTTCATCTATGTGAAATCATACTATAAGAAGTCCAACTTATGTTGTGTAATAAAATTAGTGAATATTAAATAAATTTAAAATATTATATTATTATATCGTTGAAAAAATATTTATGCTTTCTGATTTCATAATACACTGAAATGGAAAATACGTCAAAGAGCAATCTGAATATTTTGTTTACTCTTCGACTCCATTTCCATCGTCGGCTTTTATGCATTTACCCCCATTTAATCAATCATTTAATATCAACTGCCAAAACTCATCTTCAATTTCGAATCTAAACTTTGCAACTTTTGATAGGTCTCTATATTTAATTGCTATTTCATGTTTTCATAATAAAAGAGAGTAATTTATGGCTGCAGTGAAATATTTTGTTCTCCATATTTGAAATTAATGGTGAACCGATGGGTTGCCTCTCATAATAATACTTAGATCGTAAGAGCGTTGAACCAAACAGCTTAAAGAACATATAAATAGTAAGAGTTCTGATTGCTGTAGTAATAATAATTAAAAAAAATATGTGATTATACTTTTCAAGTTTTTAAATATGTAATAATTAATTACCGAAGTAAGTTAGTAAAAAAATACTATGCCCATGTTATTAATATAACTTTTTAGTATCAACAGTTTGTTTTTCTGGAGACGATCTTGATGTGTTTCAGATTTTGTAACACTGTACTAAGAGAGCGTCCATTAATCACATGATCGATTTTTTAAGGATTTTTGGACCTCTCCCCCCCCCTTGGCGATACGTGGTAATATTCAAATTTACTCTCACCCTCCCCCCATCAAACATCAAGTGTACTTTTAGTTACAAGAAAAAATTGTAATTTTTTTTTTTGAATATGTTTTGGATTTTTAAAAAAATCAGGTAAAAAATTAATACACTTGATATCTCACTATACTTCTCCCTTTCCTATGTGATATTTTGTGATTTTTTGTCGCCCCTAATAGCAAAATTAGAGTTTAATTCGAGAAGCAGAAATTCGATTTGAGCACCATATCCCATATAATCCCGAAATGAAGTTTTTCTCCAAATTACTAAAGCATACTTCAAATTACTCCAAATTACTCCAAATTAAGGGTGTTCCATGGTATAACGGTTAAGCCTTGTGTGGAGAGGGTCGAATTTTGCTCTGTCTATCTTGATATTATGCAGTAGTGATATCAACTTTCACTTGAAAATATGTTATCAATTGAAATTAGACCATTATAATAGGGCAAAATAGCACCTATTTGAAACGAGTTGGAATTTACAGTACTACCCATTATTTTATTTTTGTACTACCTGACGTGTCTCAACAAATTGTGTTATTTCCAACAATGCTAGAAAACTCCTACCTCCTATCTCCCGCGTTGACTTTAAAAGAATTTCTATCGAACAAAATGTAATCCAATTTAAGTTTATCAAAAAGTATAGAAAAAAGTAATATGCTCTGCACAAATAAATCGGCATGGTATAGCCTTGCGCCAGTTTCGCTGATAAGGCGATCGCCATATCGTCACGTCCCTGTGCAATGTAAATAAACAAACATTAATCCCAGAACTGAAATCAAACTGAATGCAAGCATCATATAGGGGAAATCGGGGTTCGTCGTCTTAAAGAATTATGCCTATTCTTCTTACTAGACAAATGCAAAGTCTGAATCCGTAAAGTATCTTGGAATTCATCTTGATAGGCGATTGACTTGGAGAACACATATAAAATATAAAATTCAACAAATTAGATTGAAATCCCAAGAGCTTAACTGGCTTATTGGGAGAAAGTCAAAATTGTCTATAAGACAATACTCAAACCGATCTGGACATATGGAGCCGAAATATGGGACAGCGCTTCGACATCTAACATTGCAATGATTCAAAGAATTCAGTCAAAAACAATTAGGATAATAACAGACGCTCCTTGGCATGTCTCAAAATATATAATTCATAATGATCTCCAAGTTCTATTTGTTCAAGATGTTATTAATAACAGAAAAAACACTCACTTGTTAAAATTTAAGTTATTAATAACGAACGATTTAGTTACATCTTTGCACCGCCAATGAGAAGACTCAAACGAAAATGGCCCATGATACAACTTAGCACTTATTTGTAAATCTCTCGATGGAGAGATTTGAACACTTTAAAAACTATTTCACATAATTTTTCATGTTGTATATTTGTTTTGTATTTGTATAGAAGTATATGTGTATGTAATTTTATGTAGTGCATGTTTATTTGTAAAACTTAGCACAATAGCTTATAGAAATTTATAATTTTTGATTGCTATTAATGAATATATATATATATATAAATATATATATAAAATGCCTATTCTTCGGGCTACTTTGGATAGCTTTGCTAATAAAACTAATTAGATGTCAACCTAAGATAATTGCCATGCAATACTTTTGTGGGTCATCAATCCAACCAGCAAAATAAGTGACTTCCTACTTTAAGAAAATATTGATTGTTCGATTGTGAACAAATATTGACTGAAAGCAATACTATTTTTGGTATATTTTTGATATGTGAGAAATTTAAATTTTTCTTGTATGATTTCTGTCTTCTTGGACATGGCTCTGAGGTAAGAACCGAAGCTTAGTGGTTCGGATTATATACCCACTTTGGCCAGCTTGATATCAATGCACAAAGACTGACTTACCGGTACGCATGTATTAAGAATAAATTTAGGATAAAAATAAAAAAGTAAAAAAATAAATATGTCATTTATCCCCCGTCTCCCCTTTTTCTGCGAATATCAATAAACGTCGTTTTCTTTGGCATCGGCGTCATGGAGAGTTATCGAATTCTCACTGCGACGTTATTTTACATTGTTAGGCGACAATTGCCGAGTTTGAGAATTCTTTAGAATCTCAAGTCATTGTTTCTTGAAGAGCAAGTACCTACTTGCTGATATGCCACGAGTAAATAGAGACGGTCTATGTATTATTATTTATGTGAGGTGATCTATTGTTCTCAAAGTAGGTCAATTTCGTTAAATATCAATAGAGTAGAAATTTTTTTCACACTATTTGTTTTAATGATGATAGTAAAATAGTAATGACGTCTGTATAAATTATTGGTAGATTTCCATTAGGGTCTGATCTTCGCAGATGAT